TGGAGCCAAGGGGATGTTAGCTGAACGAGTCGGAAAGTCTAAACCAGTGAGGAGATTCTGTGACAGTGGGAGCACGGGGCGTGTTCCGGGTACAGTTACAAAGAGCCGTTGGGTTTTGAAGACTAAGACTGAAAAATTCTCTCCTGTTGAATGTTTGCAAAGTTGGGAGAGTGTTAGTGGTCCTCGGTGTATCTCTGGATCTGGTGGAGTGTCTAAACCGGTTGAGACAGAGGATGAGTTGGTGGCGAGATTAGCCACGGCTGAGTTGGAGCTAGTGGGAGCTTCAACTGGCCCTTCTAGAAATTTGATGATGAGGGGCGGCTGCAACTAGAGAAATCAGACTAAGTTTTAGCTTGTTCTTTGGAACTGGAAGCTTGAAGGACTTGGTTGTTTTTTTTTTTAAAGATTTCTGGAGTAATTGAGAGTTGGATGGCGAAGAAAGACTAATTTGTTCAAGTCTCCAAGTGGGAGATTGTTAAGATTTATGGAGTCATGAACAAATTGACAAGTTCCTAAGAGTTCAAGGGCCATAAATGTAACTTGACAAATTAAACAATTGAATTGTTTAATATTTGTTTATTGGACGGTGAGTGGACGGCAAAAATATTAATTGTTTAATGGAATCCATGTGCAATTTTGTTTCGGCCGTAACATGTGAATGGAAGAAAATTCAAATGGTGGCTGGTCAAACAAAACGGCTCCTCTCTCAGTATATATATGTGCGATGTAACTCTTTGTATTTGTGCCGAGTGATATTACCATTTGTAATCTTATAGTGAGTTAATATAAAATCTAGTTGCGCCCATGGACGTAGGATTTACACCGAATCCGAACCACGTAAAATCCTTGTGTTCCTTCTTGCTTTATTTTCTCGTTTCGTTTGTGTGTGTGATAGTGTTTCCGCTGCGTGTACCCTGTCTCAATTCCTAACATACTACATACTAGAGAACATACTACATACTAGAGAACATACTACATACTAGACGGAAAGAATACAACACTAGGGCATACTGTAATACAAGGATACTATAACATTAATGTGAGATACTACTTCGTGGTGCGGCATATACTGTTGTGACACGTTTTGTACCCAGAGTCTCCTGGAGGGAGAGCGTGAGTTTGTGTATAGATCTATACGGGATTGACCATCCCACACCTTGCTGCTAGCTACAGTGGGACCTGCAGGTCTACGGGTGACAAATGTCATATCGCTTCGACGTCTCGAACGTCGTGTCATACTAAGTCCGATCAAGCATGGATACAATCAGATCACATTTTACCTTAATTAAACTAACCAGTTTAAGGGTAGTTAGTATAATTAGTAGTTACCTAGATAAAACTACTAATACACCTTTATTTCCCATTTTCATTCATATTGTGATCTTCTCACATAAATGGTAATGGAAAACTATATTCTTGGTAATGATAGTCATACTTGGGAAAACTCACACTTTTACAAAAGAGCAAACAAACAAACAGTTGGGTCTTGGTAGAAGACCACTTTAGTAGAAAATATAGGATTTTCTAGGAAGTTTACAAACATTTTCAACAAACACTTACAAACTTTTACATCAAACATTTACAACTACTTTCTTCAACTTATACCAACAACGACACTAAAATACTTATGAACTCACCAGCTTTAATTCTGATCTACGCTTTCAAAATAACTTGTATTCTCAGGTCGCCAGTAGACAGGTACCGGTGATCAGGTTTTTGAGAAGATGGAGCACATTCAAGACTCATCTTTCATTTTGATTATTCATTTTTGGTGTCTTATAAACTACAGAACACGCTTGTATATAAACTATTACTATTAATGCAATGGATGATATTGTTGCTTGTTTACTATTATGCATTGTTGTGATACTGTACATGACGTCCTCCACCCCCGAACGTTCTGCCATTTCGGTTTTGGGGTGTGACAATATAGGTGCTTGGTGATAGCACCATCAATGATTGTATCATATCCAGAGGAGATTCTACTTGTTCGGAGTAGTGCTCTTGTATTTTCTTTTGTGTTGTTTTTGAATCATTGGAAAACAAGTGTGATCACACGTATTGCTTCTTTAAGGTTTATTGACGATGATATGCAGGATGATTTGTTAAGTGTGGACAAAATATTATATGTTCATTTGTTTGCCATTGGTGATGGGGCTATATGTGATGCCTATGGGGTTGTTGCGAAACCAATTAGGTACTCGATTGTGGCTCTTGGGATGTTTGTCCTTATTCGTATCGTTATTGATCAACATGACAAGAGGTTTCTAAATTCCTTGTTGTTTTCTAGTCAGGTGAGCATTAGAATCTAAGTGTTTTTATAAACAACATTGAAAGTTTTTTTTGTTATTAAAATAATTTTTTTTGTAGGATATTGTGAGTGATGAATCACGAAATGTTGATTGATGACATTGAGAAGATTCAATGTAGAACCGATGGTACATATTCTTACTCAAACATTTCAATTAGTATAAAATTGTGTCACATAATAATATTTTATCACGAGTTATATGCAAGAAGTAGCGAATTAGCAAAATGTACTTTGATTTATTTAAGTGTCATTCTATTTTCGTTTCTTTCTTACAACACTGTATTTTCAATTTTTTCTTATTAAGACATTGTATTTTGGAAAATCTAAACTTTCTTTATTTGTATACGGGTGAAAATTGCTTAGTATTTACTATTTAGATGATATTGTTATAATCTATCGGGTCTTTTTTTCATAGTATAATGTTATAATAAGATAAAATAAAAGTAGAATGCTGTGATAAGCTAGCAAGCCAATGAAAGTGCATTGATATTTCTTGCTTTTAAATCGTTGATCGAAAGTATCATCCGGGAATCTTGTTTAGCAATATCAAAATCCATTTTTCATGTTTTCAAACATATTCTTCCATGTCGTGTTTGCAAATAATTGAAACGTTTTGAATTCACACATGGTTAGAATATTAGTTTATTAACTTATGATGTTCTTTAATAATGACAAAACAAGGGCATCTAATGGACCAATATTACCTTAATTAATAGTTTGTAATGAATGGTTAAGATCTTCCGTATCCGTATTGGCAACCTTTGTGGCAAAATAAGCTAAAGTTACCTATATGAAGGATTAATAATGTTTATTTTATTTGCTAATTATTGAGAGTATTATAGATAGACATTTATTTAAATAACAACTATATACTTTTAAGTTGATTTGATGAAACATTTTCTTTATTTTTGAAGTTATATGGAAAACAAGAAACGATAGAGTCTTCAACAAAAACCGGCTGCCACCCGACAAAGTCATAGATATTGTCAAATCTATGAGCTTTCTTTGGGTGAAAAACAGAGGTAAAAGAAAGGAGTTAGCCTGGGCAAATTGGTCTCAATGCCCTTTTCTTAACCTGTAATTTCAGTTGTTTGTTGTTGTATTTCGTGTTGTTCGTGCTTTTGTGTTTTGCCACTAGCTCTATGTGGCTTGTATTGTTACTTTCCCTGTTACTTCTTTTTCTCTAGTGTTGTTCGTGCTTTTGTGTTTTGCCATTAGCTCTATGTGGCTTGTATTGTTACTTTCCCTGTTACTTCTTTTTCTCTAATATTAATCTATTGGTCGGTTCCAAAAAAACAACACACGCTATGTCTCGTTGCAGAGTAAAAACACGTGTATTCGAGAGAAGGATATGATTCTCGAATCTATTGATGAGATAAGGATAAAAGCATGGGGCCACATTGCCTTGTTTATCGGCAAGAGGGATGTCTTAGTTCTCCCCTTCTGGATTCATTCATAAACGAAACTAACTTTTTTATTTTGTTCAAATTTTACTTTTTTACCCCCCGGTAAACCTTACATATGACTGAAATTATGATGATTGACTTTTTAAAAAATGGAAGTATTTAAAGGTGACAATTTTAACAAAATGATTGTTTCTCCCGGCAAGGAACTTCATAATTTAAAGAGTTCTTTAATGACAAAAAAACTTTTAATAACATTACTTATTTCGTGACGTAATTTATTTGAATGTGATTACTTTTACTTCTATGATAACGAAATAATTAAAATAGGGGTGGCTTTATGTCATAATATTTTAAGATGTTACTATTGTTTTCAAAGAAAAAAAAAATTAAAACAGTGGTTGATTTCACTATGACAAAATTTAAATAGTTTGAGTGCTCATGTATTAGACAATATTTAACGGAAATTCATTGAACTAACCACAATGTAACATTTATTTAATGGAAATAATAAAAAAAATAGAAAAAATAACCATTAATTATGGAATAGGCATTGCGGACCGAATAAAAACATTGTTTTTGACAAAAAAAAAAAAAAACGGATAGACTTTCCGGATTTCAGACAAAATTTTCAGAGTTCGAAAAAAAAACTCTACAATTTTAAGAACAGTTCCTAAATTAGATGAATAATCTGGAACTTCATGAAAAAAAATTTGATCTTTACTAAAATCTTAAAAAAAAAAACTAACAAACATGAAATTTATATACGATATTATGGCATAAAATCAGACATTTGTTTGAAAATGATGATATTACACACTACGAAATGAACATTCCGAACATAAACACAAAGATGTCTTTGAAAAAAAATTGCAAAAAAGAAAAAAAAAATGTCTCTATGATTTGAAGAACACTCCAGAATGATACATTCTTGAATAATTGGTCATTTTAAAAAGTGAAAAAAACAATAGTTATTTTCTCAAATAAGTCATTTAGAAGAGTCAATTTAATGAATTTCTTATATTTTAATACGTTTTTTTATGATAAATTTTAAAATGTAGCAACAAACTCTTTGATATGTCACTATTTCCTGAACTAAGTAAAAAGTTTGAACACCTTTTATTCCAAATTTATCAAAACTTTATGTTTGAATATTGTTTCCAACTATCGTCACCTTTTACTAAAAATAACAAAATTCTCAAAACAAAATTTCCAACGTCATTGATTGCACCGAGTGTTGTAAAGCTTAGCTGTTTTCATGGGACTTCTTAAAAAACCCCATTTATGCTTTATGCCGCTCACCTCTTCTTCCAATGTCCTCTTTAGATCGATGAAAGCAAGAATTTCGTTGCAATTTCTTAGGCCATTTACACTTAAACAAATCTTTCATTTTGTTTAATTCTGTTTCAGTCATGGCAAATAAACGTTCGAGTTATTCGATGTTAGCATTTCCTGTACATTTGTTGGTAATATCAATCGTTGCCCTTGTTCTATTTTGGCTCATAGGCTTCAGGGAAGGCTTTGCTCTATCATCATCCACAAAAATGAAGATTTTCAATGTAAGTTTCTAAAATTTTATTTATGTTTTGACAAAATTATCTGGAATTTAAAGTTTTTGTTTATATATAAGTGTTTGGCAAAAATAAATGTAAGTTTTTGAAAGGTATAAATAATATAAAATCTAAAGACTAAAAACACTAAAAAAACTACTTGTAATGGCTTTTGGATCAAAAGTATTTTGTTTAAAACAAATATTTTAAGTTAAAATTTTTCTTTAATTTGATATTTTTTCCATAAAAACTAAAAACTCTCAAAGTTGTTGCCAAATATACATTTAATGTAGATTTTGATAATTTTAAGTTGTTTTCATTGTCTTATTTTGTAGTTGCACCCGCTTCTGATGGTACTCGGATTCCTTATTTTTTCAGGAGAAGGTAAGAAAAGTAACAAAATATATACGAATTATCTATATGATAAACTAAAATCTATACTGTTGTTTTGAATCAGCAATGATTGCATACAAGGCGATCCCAGCACCGAGAATGGTAGTTAAAATTATTCACCTAACATTGCACTTTATCGCACTTGTCTCCGGAATATTTGGCGTTTATGCGGTCTTCAAATTTCATGATGAAGTCAAAGCGCCACATATGTACACATTACATTCATGGATCGGCATGTCAGCCATCGCTTTATTTGGTCTTCAGGTGATCTTTAATTACTTTCATAAGGGCATTCACAATGCACTCAACTCTAAAAGGTTTAGTAGATTGTCACATCTGAATTCCACTTTTCCTATAATTTTACCTTTTAGTTCCTACAATGCATTCAACTCAACAAATTTCAATAAAACACACACATATATATATATATATATATATATATATATATATATATATATATATATATATATATATATATATATATGTTTTATTGAAATATATATATTAAATTAAAAAGTTATTTTTTTTCATTGAATAGTTCAAGGGCCAATATATTGTGGATGCTCTGAAAAAACCTTCAAATTTAAGTGAAATTTTCATATTACTAACATAAACACTTCTTTTATTAGTTGATATTGGGATTTGTAACTTTTTTATTCCCGGGCGCTGAGTCAGCAACACGCGCAAGATTCTCTCCATGGCATGTTTCTGCAGGTGTGGTGATATTTTTCATGGCGATAGTGACTACTGAGACGGGATTAATAGAGAAGTTTATTTTCCAACAATTGAAACGTGGTCAAGAAGCGCTTTTGGTCAATTTCATTGGATTGCTGATATTACTTTTTGGGATTTCTGTAATTGTAACCGCTATCCTTCCAATAAGAAGGAAATAACGATCGATGTTGTAATACTGTTTTCACATAATAAAAAGACTTAAAATAGTGCAAAACTAATTTTAGTATCTTTAAAATAATATAAACACATTTCACATCAAACATAGTTTCTTTGTATTTTATATTCTCTGCAATAAACCAGTGATTTCCGTTTGCATTCTCATTTTCATTTTATAATACTCAAAATACCGTTTGCATTCTCATCTTCATTTTATAATACTCACAATGCATGTTTTTCAAAACCTTAAACTCTTTAACTTTCTTCTTCCTTAGTTCCTCAAATTCACTCAAACATAACTCCCCGAATTTCTCTCGATACTCTTAATCCAACTTCTCAATCTTTACCCTAATCATCCGTTTATACCCTTCTACTTCTTTTCTTGCTTCGTCCACCTTATTTTGGAACATTCTTGCGTCCACTTCTTTTATCCTCATAAGACTCTCCACACTATCAAAATCAGATTTTTTTCATTGATTTTACAGCCCATTCATCCTTGATGTGAAACAAAGGTTTACTGATGTTTTGAGGCAAATTTGATGTGGGAAATTTGGATATATCATCTGTATATATACATCATAACAAAAATTCAAAGTTTGTTATATATATATATATATATATATATATATATATATATATATATATATAATTTAGCAAATTGCAGGAAATAGCAATGTACGTTATTGCTATTACAAATACAAATACTTTGTTTTTTTACCCATGATAGCAATATATTTACATTTATTTACCCATAATATCAATGTACTTGTATTAGCTATATTTAACATATAATTATAAATTGTTTTACTATTGTAAACATATACAATGTATTACTTAGCTTTTTACCCATATTAGCAACGAACTCACTGTTTTTAGTGATAATAGTAATATGTAACACATAATCATAATGAAATAGTAGTTGCACTTATATGTATAGTCATTGAATCTTAATAGAAAAACAACTTTTTTATATTGGCGGGCTGTAACGGAGTAGTGACCCGGGATCCTCGGGAACCACTTAGCTCCGCCCCTGGTTTTTACCCATAACAACAATATATTTACATTTCTATATCCTTAATAGAAATGTATTTACATTTTTTGTTGATAATAACAATATGTAACTCATAACTGTAACATACTTTACTCTTTCTAATGTAGACAATATACTTGACTTTTAACCTATAAAAGAAATATATTTACATTCTAATGTACAACACTCGTATTGGTAAATGATGAAGTACATTGATATTATCGATAAAAAAAATACATTGCAAATTTGCAGTTATGGATTTATGGGTAAGAAATAAAGTAAACTACCCATATTGATAGCAAGAGTAAATTGTGTTGCTGTTTTCTGCAATTTTCTATATATAATTTGTCTAAAATTTAAAACAAAGTGAAAAAGAAACTTACAGTCGAAAAACTAAATGATGAAGGTGCACAAATCTTTAGTAGACATTATTTTGTTATCAACTTTTGATATCATCTCACAAGCCTTTAAGTGAAGCTCTTTCCCTTTGAAATCTAAACTCCCTTTAAGGATTTTCTTTACACAATCGAGTTCTTTTGTTAATGTATCTTGACTCCATTGTCGTGCACCAGATTTAATGTTAGAAATTTGGGGTGAAATAGCACTTGGAATTTTTGAGAATTTTGAAATAGCACAAATTTGCAGTTATGGATTTATGGGTAAGAAATAAAGTAAACTACCCATATTGATAGCAAGAGTAAATTGTGTTGCTGTTTTCTGCAATTTTCTATATATAATTTGTCTAAAATTTAAAACAAAGTGAAAAAGAAACTTACAGTCGAAAAACTAAATGATGAAGGTGCACAAATCTTTAGTAGACATTATTTTGTTATCAACTTTTGATATCATCTCACAAGCCTTTAAGTGAAGCTCTTTCCCTTTGAAATCTAAACTCCCTTTAAGGATTTTCTTTACACAATCGAGTTCTTTTGTTAATGTATCTTGACTCCATTGTCGTGCACCAGATTTAATGTTAGAAATTTGGGGTGAAATAGCACTTGGAATTTTTGAGAATTTTGAAATAGCACAAATTTGCAGTTATGGATTTATGGGTAAGAAATAAAGTAAACTACCCATATTGATAGCAAGAGTAAATTGTGTTGCTGTTTTCTGCAATTTTCTATATATAATTTGTCTAAAATTTAAAACAAAGTGAAAAAGAAACTTACAGTCGAAAAACTAAATGATGAAGGTGCACAAATCTTTAGTAGACATTATTTTGTTATCAACTTTTGATATCATCTCACAAGCCTTTAAGTGAAGCTCTTTCCCTTTGAAATCTAAACTCCCTTTAAGGATTTTCTTTACACAATCGAGTTCTTTTGTTAATGTATCTTGACTCCATTGTCGTGCACCAGATTTAATGTTAGAAATTTGGGGTGAAATAGCACTTGGAATTTTGAGAATTATGTTTTCACTTTCAAATTGAAGTTTTGGGTGGTACTCCCGATCTTCAATATGATAAGACTTAGAATGAGAAAACAGTTGAGTGAATAAGAAGTATGGATTTTCTTGAGTACCAAAATTATGACCAAAATTGGTTATAAACTATTTTTGTCTGAAAACTGTTACAAAACAAATTTTTGTCCCAAAACGGTCTCCAACAGTCATAAACTGTACACAAAAACAGGCATTTTAATAAGTGATGTGTAATATAAGTACTAGTTTTAAACCAACTAATCTAGACTAACCAACACAAATAGGCAGTGTACCTAATCGATTAATAGGATAATTCAGGTAAGTTAGGTATCGAACACAGGGAACGGAAATAACAACTAAAAGTTATCTACTAAAGTTATCTAAGTAAAATAAGCAAATAAATGAGTTTTTTTTTCTAGTTTTGCAAGTCTAGAAACTTAAAAACAACTAGCAAAGAAATACTTTAGACTAAAGAAGAAACAAGAAAACATATTTTAATTCAAGATATTAAAGAGACTTTCTTTTAGATGCGATTCACTTGCTCCTATGGTTGATTTTATGGAAAGTGCAATGGATTATTGTGACATCCCTAATTTTATCGGCCAGAAAAGACCGATTTCGTTTATGCTTTTTAAAATAAAATCAGAGTAATCTTTCAAAAGGTGTTGCAGAATTTGTCCCCAAAACAAAATATGATAAAAATTTATCCAAGCATTTCTTAAAGAAATGAATTTTCATTATATTATAAAACCTCGGGATGTCATGTTCCGATATAGACCAAAAGCATAAACAATACCATATAGGCCTTACAACAGTTATTTATATATACTGGCCTATAATCCAAAATCCCTCGTCATCGTCCAACTATGCTCTTGTTCCACGACCTGTAATATAAAAAGCTGAGTGGGTCAGGCTTGGAAGCCTGGTGAGCATATAGGGTTTTCAACCCACAATAAATAAATTTATTAATTTTCATCAATCAACAATAACTTTATTAATTTCATCAACCAACAATAACCCTGATTACCCGTTCCCATTATCCTCACTTTATGTCCCTAAACACCTATCATAAGGGACATAGCCTAAGGATCATCATCAGGGTAACAACACTGCTTAAGGGATATTTATGCAGTTTCTTAAGGTTCCACCCTAAGAATCCCCACAACGACACAATCTATACTCTCAGATCTAAAATCAACCTCTTTACCTAATCCATACTCCCGGATCTAAAATTTACCTCTTTACCTAATCCATACTCCCAGATCAATAATTGTGCCCATTCCATACTCTCGGACTAGGGACAATTAACTATGTCTTAATCCATACTCCCATATTAATAATAAATAACTATTGTCTTAATCCATACTCCCGGATTAATAACAAATAACTATGTCTTAATCCATACTCCCGGATTAATAACAAATAACTATGTCTTAATCTATACACCCGGATTAATAACAAATAACCATGTCTTAATCCATACACCCAGATTAATAACAAATAACCATGTCTTATCCATACTTCCGGATTAATAACAAACAACCATGTTATCCATACTCTCGGACTAAGGACAATTGACTAAGTCTAATCCGTACTTTCGAAAAACATCTACAATTTACTAGCCTGTTAACGTTCCACTGGATTGTCTAGAAAAGTCTGTAGTCGTCATCTATATTCCGCTAGATGACTGGAACATCGTCAACATCGAGACCTCTCATCATTTTGTTTCATCACATATCAACTAGTTCATCTACCAATGTTATACCCAACATATTTGTAGATAAAAATACATATACAGTTTAAATCATTCTAAACATATATAAAACATTCATTCAACATCCATCTCAAATAAACAAACAATATATATACACATAGCACGTATTTTATATAAAATACTTCATATCTATGTGTAAGATGAAAATGACTATACACTCACTTGATAAGACGACGGTTGGACAACACTTCATCCCTTAAAATAATCTTTTCCGATGAAACCGAGATGTTTTCTAAAAAACCGGGCTTTATGCGGGCAGAGTCTCGACTCGAAAAACTCTTTTTCTTGGAGACTTCGGGACTCCGGGCATGTTTCGGGTGTTAGGGGTGTTCACGAGGCTTCGGGGGGTGTTAGGATAGTTTGAGAGAGTTTAGAGAGTAAAATTTTGTAAAAAAAATCGGGAAGCCTAGCTTTCTATTTATAGTAACCGAAGCCTGGCATTACGTTGGGCGTATTCTTCGGTACACGGGGCGTACTGCCTTGCGAGCCACTACGCTGGGCGTACTTCGGTACGCTGGGCGTACCATGATACGTGGCTCCGGACATGTCAACTGTGCGAGCTACGTGTCACATGCGAAGGAAATGCGACGTGGATGACTCCAGATCGAATACGTACGAAGTACGCTGTGTGTAATCTTTATGTACGCTGGGCGTACTCCTTCGGACCAGCCTCGAAGTTTGTGCCCAGAACTTCAAAAATTCGTATATTTCGCATATGAGCTCCATTTTTTACGTTCTTTATATCTACGCGTAGGTGAGATTATACTCTACAACTTTCGTTTGGACTCTGTCGGCTAATTTTGAC